GATGGCAGCTGGATAACATGGCAGTGGTATATTGAAGAGGCAGTGATGCCCTAAAGAGGTGGTAGAGTCACAGGTAGTGGGTTTGCAGAGATCACCATGGAGGCAGAAGCAGGGTAGTGACTGGAGCCCCTGAGTTCCTAGCATGATGGGGTGTGAAGTCGGGAAGCACTGAGTGCCCCACTCAGTTAGGCTGGTCTCAACAGGCCTGGGCAATAAAGACAAGGAGCCAGAAAGGAAAGACAGGGGTCAGAGATCAGCTGGCAGTGGGCCATGCAGGTGGCAGATCAGCCCCAGGGCACCTAGCAGCAGCAGTGAGGCTGGGGAGCCCTATACTCCTGGGCATCCTCCAACCTTGGCTCCAGCCTTCCTTGGACCCCCTTCCTGGCAACTCCAGTAGGACCTTTGCCCTGGCCCCTGGCAAAGGTTTACATGCTCAATGAGGACCAGCAGTGGGTCAGCCAGGGTGCTGGGCATGTCCTCCAGCTACATGGAGTGGCTGAAGGGCATGTCCCTGCTAGTCAGGGCCTGATAAAATGTGGTCCACTGGAAAAGTAATGGTAGACCACTTCAGTATTCTTGCCTTGAGAACCGCAGGAACAAAATGAAAAGGCAAAATATATGACACTGGAAGATGAGCCCCGCACCCTCCCCCCAGGTGGGTAGGTGTCCAATATGCTACTGGGGAAGAGTGGAGAAATAGTTCCATAAAAAATGAAGAGGCTGGCCTAAAGTGGAAATGTCACTCAATTGTGGATGTCTGGTGGTGAAAGTAAAGTCCATTGCTATAAACAACAATATTGCGTAGGAACCCAAAATGTTAGGTCCATAAATCAAAGTAAATTGGACATGGTCAAGCAGGAGATGCAAGAGTCAACACTGACGTTTTAGGAATCTGTGAACTAACCAAAATGGATGAGAATGGGTGAATTTAATTCAGATGACCATTATATCTACTACTATAGGCAAGAATCTTATAGAAGAAATGGAGTAGCCCTTCTGGTCAACAAAAGAGTCCACAATGCACTACTTGGGTGCAGTCTTAAAAACAACAGAATGATCTCTGTTCATTTCCAAGGCAAACAATTCAACGTCACAGTAATCCAAGCCTATGCCCCAGGCACTAATGCCAAAGAAACTGAAGTTGGATGGTTCTGTGAAGACCTACAAGATCTAAAACTAACATCAAAAAAAAAAAAAAAAAACTTTCATCATAGGGGACTGGAATGCAAAATAGTAAGTCAAGAGATACCTGGAGTAACAGGCAAGTTTGGCCTTGGAGTACAAAATGAAGCAGGGCAAAGGCTAACAGAGTTTTGGCAAGAGAATGCACTGGTCATAGCAAACACTTTTTTCCAACAAGAGATGACTCTACACATGGACATCACCAGATTTCAGTAAATACTGAAATCAAATCAATTATATTCTTTGCAGCCAAAGATGAAGAAGCTTGATACAGTCAGCAAAAGCAAGACCTGGAGCTGACTGTGGCTCAGATCATCAGCTCCTTATTGCAAAATTTAGGCTTAAATTGAACAAAATAGGGAAAGCCACTAGATCAGTGAGGTATGATCTAAATCAAATCCCTTATTATTATGCAGGAGAAGTGACAAATAGATTCAAGCAATTAGATCTGGTAGAGTGTCTGAAGAACTATGGATGGAGTTTTGTAACATTGTACAGGATATGGGGACCAAAACCGTCCCCAAGAAAAAGACATGCAAGACGGCAAAGTGGTTGTATGAGGAGGCCTTAGAAATAACTGAGGAAAGAAGAGAAGCAAAAGGCAAAGGAGATAGAGAAAGAAAGATATACTCATCTGAATGCAGAGTTCCAGAGAATAGCAAGGAGAGATAAGAAAGACTTCTTAAGTAAAAAATGCAAAGAAATAGAGGGAAACAATAAAATGGGAAAGACTAGAGATCTCTTCAAGAAAATTGAAGATATCAAGGGAACATTTCATGCAAAGATGGGAACAATAAAGAATAGAAACAGATAGGACCTAACAGAAGCAGAAGAGACTAAGAAGAGGTGGAAAGAATACACAGAACTGTACAAAAAAAGGTCTTAATAGCTCAGATAACCACGATGTGACTCACCTAGAGCCACACATCCTGCAGTGGGAAGTCAAGTGAGCCTTAGGAAGCATTACTATGTACAAAGCTAGTGGACATGATGGAATTCCAGTTGAGCTATTTCAAATCCTAAAAGATGATACTTTTAAAGTGCTGCACTCAATATGCCAGCAAATTTGGAAAACTCAGCAGTGGGCATGGGACTGAAAAAGGTCAGTTTTCATTCCAATCCCAAAGAAAAGTGATGCCAAAGAATGTTCAAATTACCATACAATTGTGCTCATTTCACATGCTAGGAAGATTATGCTCAAAATCCTTCAAGCTAGGCTTCAATAGTACATGAACCAAGACCTTGCAGATGTACAAGCTGGATTTAGAAAAGCAGAAAAACCAGAGATGAAATTGCCAACATCTGTTGGATCATAGAAAAACCAAGGGAGTTAAAAAAAAAAATCTACTTCTCCTTCACTGATTACACCAAAGCCTTTGACTATGTGGACCACAACAAACTATGGAAAATTCTTATAGAGCTGGGAATACCAGATCACCTTACCTGTCTCCTGAGAAACCTGTATGCTGGACAAGAAGCAACAGTTAGAACAAGACATGGAAAAACAAACTGGTTCCTAATCGGGAAAGGAGTACTTCAAGGCTGTATATTGTTACCCTGCTTATTTAACTTACATGCAGAGTACATCATATGAAATATCAGTCTGGATGACTCACAAGCTGGAATCAAGATTGTGGGGGAAAATATCAACAACCTCAGATATGCAGATGATACCAGCCTAATGGCAGAAAGTGAAGAGGAATTAAAGAGCCTCTTGAAGGTGAAAGAGGAGAGTGATTTAACTGGCTTAAAACTCAACATTCAAAACATTAAGATAAAAAAAAAAAAACCCAAACATGAAGATCATGGCATCCGGTCCCATTGCTTCATGGCAAATAGATGGTGGGGGGGGGGGGGGAGTGGAAACAGTGACAGATTTTATTTTCCTAGGATCCAAAAATCATTGCAGATGGTGACTGAAGCCACAACATTAAAAGAGGCTTGCTCCTTGGAAGAAAAGCTATGACAAAGCTAGATAGTACATTAAAAAGCAGAGACATCACTTTGCTGACAAAGGTCCATATAGTCAAAGCTATGGTTTTCCCAGGAGTCATGTATGGATGTGAGAGCTGGACCATAAAAAGGGCTGAGTGCCAAATAACTGATGTTTTCAAATTTTGGTGCTGGAGAAGACTCATGAGAGTCCCTTAGATTGCAAGGAGACCAAACCAGTCAATCCTGAAGGAAATCAACCCTGAATATTCATTGGAAGGACTGATGCTGAAACTGAAGCTCCAATTCTTTGGCCATGTGATGCAAAGAGCCAACTCATTGGAAAAGACCCTGGTTCTGGGAAAGATTGAGGGCAGGAAGAGAAGGCAGCAACAGATGATGAGATGGTTGGATGGCATTATCAACTCATTGGACATGAGTCTGAGCAAACTCTGGGAGATGGTGAAGGACAGGAAAGCCTGGCATGCTGCAGTCCATGTGCTTGTGTGCTAAGTAGCTTCAGTTATGTCTGACTCTTTGTGACCCCACGGACTGTAGGCTGCCAGGCTCCTCTGTCCATGGGCTTCTCCAGGCAAGAATATTGGAGTGGGTTACCATTCCCTTCTCCCAGGGATCTTCCTGACCCAGGCATTGAAGTCTCTTAAGTTTCCTGCATTGGTAGGAAGGTTCTTTATCACCAGTGCTGCCTGGGAAGCCCAGTTCATGGGATCAGAAAGAGTCAGACACAACTGAGCGACAACAAAGTTGTATTTAACAGCTGGAATACACAATTCCAGAAAATTCAGCAATTTTCTCTTATGAGCTAGTATGAGGCTTCAGCATTCCATGGCACCAAACTGTGTCAGTGTTTTTCTGTGATTATGGGGAAAGTGTGCTTTGTTCATTTATTTTTTACTTTGTATTATTTTTTAAGTGGTAGAAAAAGAAATGTCTCAAAAACTGAATGAGCACTTTCAAAAAATAATTTAATTAAAAATTAATAACTCCTCAGAAATTTTGGCCCTTGTCTCTCCATCTTCAGTTGAGAACAGTGTGAGCTGGCTTCCCCAACCCCAGACACAACCTCGTCCAACAGATTTATGCAAATGCATGTCAGACTATGATCCCTAAAATATAACTCTGGTCGTGTCACTCCTTTCCCAAAATCTGAAGTCACATCAAGTGCAAATTCTCAGGCAGGATTTGAGCTCTATTTCCTTTCCAAATGCTTTCCATTTCTCCAGCTCTTGTTAGGGGTTTTCAAACCCTCCCGTATAGCACACACAGGTGTGTGTGTGTGTGTCTGTGTCTGTGTCCCTGCATGCAGCTGAGGGGGCCTCTGAAGAGGACAAGATTTGGGGCTCCAGACCCTGCTTCTATTACAGCAGCTGTGATCATATTTCATATATTTCAGGTGACATTTCATTTGGGGAAAAAAGCATTCTGCTGCTAAAAGTTAAACATTTGAAACAAACCATTTTAGTCCCACAGCATGGGTCATCCCAGTCAAGCACTCTCAAATCTGTAAGTTTCCTTTGGGCATCTCATTTGTTCATTTACTTCAACCAATGATTTATTGAGAACTTCGTATGTGCCAGGCACTGAGCATAAAGTAGTGGATAAGACAGACTGTCCCTCCCCGGGGGGCTTACAGTTTAGAAGAGTGATGATAGATATCTGAAGAAATTCAGAAACAATGTTATGCCCGATGCCCGAATCCCAAGCAGGAAGAGAGGAGGCCTCCAAGACGATGCAACTCGCAAAAAGGGAAGTTTATTGCTGACTCGAGTCAGGGCTCCTGCCGCATCCAACGCAGTAGTGCGGGGTCAGAGAGCCCCGAGCCCAAGCTGTTACACAAATTTATAGGGTGAGCACACGTTGGTAGTTGGTTTAAGCGGATTGGTTACAAGTTTGCAAAGCAATTTCATTGGTCAAACACACTTAAAACTTCCGTGCGCGGAACTTTCCCGGGGGTTTCCGCCCCATTCCTAATTGCCAAACAGCGGACAGTGTTAAGCTGATTGGTTGTATCCAGGTGGCCTGATAATCTTACCACCCAGAAGCTGGAAGGCCTACTCCTAATCTGAGCTGCCTGCCATGGCGTTACTTCTGCTCGACTCACACCTTCCTTTCCCCCTCACTCTTCCTTTGAGATTTATCTCAGAGGCCACAGATTTTTCAAAATCTTTTGATCTGCCTTTCCTACTGACAGAAGAACTCCCTTCTCCATGTAAACTTCTGTAAACAACAAACAAAGATGTTTGTTGTTTTCTCCGGTCCAGCATCCATTCTTTCACTTTCTGGTGGTAGTGCCTGTAATAGTTTTTCAGAGGCCATGTCTCCCTCCCCTTTCTCCCAGCTCATTGGGTTCCATTTGGTTTCCAGGAGTGGGAAGTGACCTAGGCCTGGCCAACTGGCACATGGAATCCTATTTGGCCATAGCAATTGGTTCAGGTCTGGCCATCCCTCTGCCTATAAAAATCAGTTTGAGATGGATAAATGATGTGAAATGGCCCATAGTGAATCCCAGACATGCACAGGGGCTTCAAGAAACAGAGGCTCAAAAAGAAAGAAAGAAAGAAAGAAAGAAACAGAGGCTCTCTTTTCTGCTGCATTTGTCTGAAAGTACACAGACCCAGAATTTTTGACAACCATTTTATAGTACTGTGGAGAATGAAGCCCTTGGAGAGGAAAGTAGATCCAGATGAAGGAGAAAGACAGGATCCTTGTGGGTGCTCACAAGGTGCTGAATCCTTGTGGGTCAAGCCACAACTAAAGCTTGAACCCTGGATATCATCATTCCTTAAGCCATAAATTTCCCCTTTTGCCAAAGTAAATTTAAGTCAGGTTTTCCAAAAGAATGTTGAGTGATTTTTCATAGCCCAGCAGTTCTAACCTGGGCTCTGGTATTTCTCTGGCTCTAGCTTTGAAGGAACCGTTCTCTCTCTGTCTCTCTCGTTCTCCCCAGTAAATTCCTAAATCCCCGGAAGTCCTCATCTATGGTCAGCAAACTAATCCTCTGCCATTTCCTTCTGCCCTACAGAGCTGGGGGTGGTGGTGAGGGGCCCCTTTTTCTGCAGAAGCTGAGAATCCTAACCCTGTCTCAGCTACCCAGCAAAGCAGCAGAGAGCCCATCTTAGGTAACAGATATCCTCACCCTCTAAGGCAGTCAAGGTCAGGGTCCAGGGAACCGAAGGTCGCTGGTGCCCCATCCAAGGGCACAAAGGTGCTGCACCCTACCCTTTTTCTTCATGGCTCCGCTTAGGGGGCGCTTGTCTCGTGCCAGGCACTCATGCTCGTCTGTAATCCTCATAGCGACCTGAGGGGCGGTGATTACTGTATCCTCACTGCACAAGTGAGAAGACTGAAGCTCAAGAAGTTCTCCGACAGTCAAGGATCCACGGTTAGTAACGAATAGAGCAGAGTTATCAGGCGTGCTTAAGCCCTGCTCGGTGAACTGTGGCCACGAGGGACGGAGGGGAGCTTAAAGTGGGGAGGGGGACGAAGAAGGGACATCGGGGGCCGTAGGAAGTTGAAACCCTGAGGAGCTGCTCAGGGGTGAGATTGGGCGCGGCCCCAGGGCCGGGCGGTGTGACTCGCGGTGATCCCCGGGCCTTGGGGTTTTCCGCGCGCAGGTAGTCCGGCTCGCCGAGGGGGCGCAGCCTTGGGGGCGGGGCTTCTCTAGGCCCGCCCCGCGCCCAGGTGTGGCGCCCGCAACCCCCTCCGCTGGCGGCGGCGAGCCCCCTCGGCGCTCTCGAGGTGTAGGCCTGCTTGCAGCCCGGGACTGGCCGGGCCGCCAGGGCCTTTGGCGGGGGCGGGGGGGTGGAGGGAGAGAGTGCCGCGCCCTGCCCGGCCCAGGTGTCGTCTACGGAGGCGGAGTTTGGGAATCCGGCTGCGGGAGATTCCCAGCCGGACTAGCTGAAGGGCAACGAGGGAAAGAAGCCTGCGGGACGAGGCAGAGCGGGCGGCGCGGGGAGTGCAGAAGGCAGGCAAAGGCGCGGGGCCGCCAGCATGTTCTCCCGAAACCACCGGAGCCGGGTCACCGTGGCCAGGGGCTCTGCCCTGGAGATGGAGTTCAAACGCGGCCGCTTCCGACTCAGCCTCTTAAGCGACCCGCCAGAGGTGAGAGACCCGAGTCCCTGCCTTCCCCTCCCCCGGCTCCCGCAGTTCGGGCCGCCGGGGCCTCCCGCCCCGCCCGCGCGCGCCGAGGGGCGGAGACGCGGTGGGTCGGGTACAGACCAGAGGTTGTTGACTTAAGTCAGGCGCGGACCGTCTGCACGTTAATCCTGCCGTGTCACCCCAGACATTCTCTGGCCCAGTGGGATGATTTGCCTCCGCTTGGAAAAAGTTTAGTTTAAGGAGTCCTAGGCTCGATTCCTAAGATGTGCCTTACGGCAGCCCTTCTGGGCATCCTGAAGATGTGCAACTAGCCGGGCTCTAACAAGACTCCTGGCCGGGGTGCCCGCTCCTTCCCTGGCCTCCAGCCGCATCCCACAGCCCGTCTCTACCGTCTGGGCCAGCCTCCATCGTCAGTACTGACTTCTCGGCCTCCTTCGCTGAAACTCTCCGCAACTGCTCCTCTGTGGCTGGGGGAATCGGAAGTGAGGGGTTCCCGATGAGCGATTTGGGATTATTTCCCACACCCAAGCTTTCAGCCTCCTTTTCTGTGGCCTAAGAAGAGTCCAGCCTCTACAGTTCCCTCCCTGGCCCACTACTCTACACGTTGCCCAGGTCTGAGCCCGACTTGTAATTCCCTAAAGAGGCTCAGGGGGGCTGAAAGATGCGGGGGCTGAGCTAGGACTGAGAGGGCCCGTGGCGACAGCAAAGGCTGTCCCCCAGGTCAGTTCTCCTTCGCTGCCGGTCCTGGAAAGGGTTAAGTGAGGGGGCCTTCCTCACTCCTCCCGGATTCCAGTTCTGGCTTCTGCACTTTACCCCACAGCCTGCCCAGAACAAAGGCCCTTTCACACCCGTGTCCCACACTCCCAGGCCTTCTCTGACTCAGAAGCTAGTGGGCCTGGGAGACAGGGCCTCTGTCGAGCCCCGCATAAGCAACGCCGCGTGGGGCCAGCGTGGGGGAGTGAGGGGCGAGGCCCAGGGACCCGGAGGAGGGGCCTGTGAGCTGGGGCCGCCCCCGGGAGAAGCCCGGCCTTTTGGGGGCCATCGCGGAGGAACCGGAGTGGAGCCGCTGGGCCCCGGAGCGGAGTGTGACTCCGTGGGCCTGGGCTGGAGGGGGGGCGGTGGTGGCAAAGCTGCAGCTGGCTGGGAATCGGGGCTGGTTTCCTGTCTGGAAGGGAAGGGGCCCGCAGAGGGGAGCGGGGGCAGCGCAGCCAGGCACACCCCTGCCTTTCTCCCTCCCTCTCCTCCCTTCTGCTGGAAAAGCAAGGTAATTGTGAACCCAGGGTGGGGCGGGCTGGATGAAGGTCCCAAGTTGGAAGAGGTGGCCCTGGGGGTTGGGCCGCGATGACCCCTCTGTCCCACTTCCTAGGCTCACGCAATCAAGTCCCCACCTCTATCCCTCTTCTTCCTCAAACTAAGCCCGAACCCTTTCAGGAAACAACCTCCTGACAATCCCCACAGCTCCACAGAACCTGCATGAACTGTCCCTTCCCGGCCCCCTTCCAGCTGTGCCTGCCCCTCACACCCTACAGCACACAGATTCTCTGTCCACCAGGCCAGGGTTGTGGGCGGGGGCTGGGGAGGGGCCAGAGTCGGAATGAAAGAGCCTTTTTCTTCCACAGCTGGGAGAGCAGCTGCCACCAAAGCAAGACTGGACACTCTGTGCCCAGAGCCCCTTCTGCAGCTGGCCTCCTCTCCGGGTACCCTGCGCATCCTCACCTCGCTTTCCTTTCCTCCCATGCCTGGCTCCATCAGGGCCCTGGAACAGCGGTAGGCAAGGAGACTTGTCACAGCAGCCAGAGGGGTCTAACTGGAGCACGAGAGGGACAGGGGCTGCCTCTGCCCTCTGACCAAGAACTGCCCACCTCTTTCAACACGAGGAGAGCAGCGGGAGAGGAATTGTGGGCAGCGTGGGGCTTGCTTGTCCCACCCCTCTGAGGGGTCAGCAAGGGAAGGGGAGTCCAGGGGTCACAGAGATGCAGGACAGATTGCACATCCTGGAGGACCTGAATATGCTCTACATCCGGCAGATGGCGCTCAGCCTGGAGGTAACGCCCCCACCCCTGGAGTGCACCTCCTCCGCAGCATCCCAGCCCCGGTTCTGTGCTGCCCTCTCCGGCTGGGCCTGCTCTGCGGGGGAGAGGGATTAGGTGGTTCTGTGTGCCCTTCTTTGGGTGCTACTTGGGGACCCAGGTTCAGTTCTGCGAGTTAGAGTATTGCGTTGGCAACAGCTTACTTCTGGAAGCTCTGTGGGTTTGTGTGGCTGTGTGTTCTGGGGCTGAGGGTTCCTTTTCCGTGTGGGAAGAAGAGAGTACACTGTGAACGTGATCTTCAGAAAGGAGATGGCCTTACCAGAGAAGGGGAAGAGGATTCTAGGGCAGGATGTAAGGATTCTGTGGCCCTGAAGATGGCAGGGAGCTGTTTATTCATTTGTTTATTCTTAATCACATTTATTGAGTACCTACTATATGCCAGCTGCTTTCTAGATCTTAGAACACCTCAGTGAACAAAACAGGACAGGTCCACTCTAGGGGACCTAGAAACATGCAAACACACAAATAATCTCACAATGAAATTATGATAAAAACGGGGGTATCATAAACATTAGGTAGGAGAGGCAGCATTAGATGTAGGAGTCAGGGAAGGCTTTTGTGAATTCTTTGAGCTGTGGCCAGAAGGATAAAGATATGTAAAGATGGGAGGAAGAGATTTCCAGACAGAGGGCAGAGTAAGGACCTTAAATGAGGATGATGATGATATGTTCGGGGAAGAAAGAGAGCCAGTGTGGCTAAAACATACTGGTTGGGGTCAAACTGGGGGGCAGGGACCAGATTATGCAGGGCTTTGAAGGCCATGACAAGTCATTTAGATTTTACTATAAGTGTGATGTTGGCCCATGGAGGGTTTTAAGCATGTGGGACAATTCACCTAATGTTTTAAAATGATAGCTGTTGTGTTTGAAAGGAACAGGCTAGGTAGGGGTCGGGGGGGGGGGGGGGGGGTGACCACCAGCTAGGAGGTCATTACAGCCTTTGGGGAATGACCCTGATGGTGAGGATTAAATGCTCATGGTGAAGATAGGGAGAAAGGGGTGGATTTGAAATGATGGTGGGAGATCTGACAGGGCTTGTTGATGGGTTGGACGTGAGGCTGAGGCCAAGAGAGGGCTCCAGGATGATTCTCAGGCGTGTGGCTAAGCAGCTGGGAGTGTGGTCATTTACAGAGGTGGGAAAGGTAGAGGAAGCTGTGGCAGTAACTGCCTGAACCAGGCAGAGGGTTGCTGCTGAGGGAGGTCAGAGGCCGGACAGTAGAGTCTAGCTCAGAAGGGGGATTTATCACAAGTTTTTGCACCCTCAAGCTGGTCCCCACTCCCTAGATAATGACAGACATTACTAGTCAGTCATTCACTCTTAACCAACAAATCCACGCATGGCCTCGCAATCTTTCTCAGCACAACCTTGGCATAAATTATGCAGATTGTGTCCTTCACAAGGGCATTGCATAGTGGCAAGAGTCCTGGCCTAGTTTCAGGCTGTGTGAGGAGGAAACACCTTTATCTAAGTTATTTGCCTAGTGAGGGTCATCTTTTTCTAATATGCAGAAAGTTGCCCAAGGTTTCCAGTGGGACTCTGACACTACCTATTGTCTTGTGTTGGCACATGAGATAAAATCTATTTGCCATCCCTAGTCCTCTGCACTGTTCATGTTACTAGTTACATGTGTCTATTTACACTTAAAATTTAGTTAATTAAAATGAAATACAATAATTTTCAGTTCCTTAATTACTTTAGCCATATTTCATCTGGTCCATGAAATATGGCTTTTGGTCCATGTGGTCATAGCTATTGAGCATTTCCATCATTGTAGGATGATGGAATGATCTTATTGGACATGGCTGGTCTAGGTATTTAAGTATTCAAATTCTTCATCCCTCCCCCTCCATGTAATTGTTCTTCATAGGAGCCCTGCCCAAGTTCTGGGACAGAAGAGGGGGCTTAGATTTCACTTTCAGTTCAGTCACTCAGTCATGTCTGACTCTTTGCGACCCCATGAACCACAGCACGCCAGGCCTCCCTGTCCATCACCAACTCCCAGAGTTCACCCAAACCTATGTCCATTTAATCATCTCTTATTCATCCATTGGTTGGTTGAGGGTGCTGTGTTCTTTCCCTGGGAGGCTCAGCAGTTCGCCAACCCCCAACTAATTGATGTTTCAGTGATTAGCAAGAGGGGTAGTTGTGAAAGTGTAAATTCCAGAAGATTTTTCTGGAGAAGGCAATTTAAGGTGCAAGTAAGGAAGAGGTAGGAGTGCTGGGCCCAGGTAGAAGCTAGATTTTCCCATTTAATCTTCAAACAGTGCTATGGAGCAGGTGGAATACCCAACTCCCATCCCCTACCCCTACCCCCACCCCCAGAAGTTAAGTTCTCACAGCTAGTTAAGTTCCTAAGCCAGGATTTGAATTTAGCCCTGGTGGAGTTTCTAAAAGGATCATAAGGTGATGAGAAGCAGAGCAGGAAGTCAGAGACAGAAGAGAGTGGGAGGAACTGGAAAGGATGTTCAGAGAGGGCCTAGTATGTGCTGGGGTTTCGGGCCATGACTCATCCTTCTTCAGCCCCTTGGGTCCTGACCCAGTCCCGCTGACATCCAACTGAGGGCTGTTTCCCAGGAGAGCCTGGTCAAAGTACTGCTGGCTTGGGAAGAGAGGGCATATGGGGTGGGGGGGAGGGAGGGGACGTGGAGCTATCCCTGAGGTAGGGAGAGGGGGTGAAGGTCTGGGATCCAGATCCTGTGTCAGGATTCCCAAGATGGTCTGCCCAATGGATGGGAGGTTTTTAGGGCATTCTCCACTGTGGGGCGTGGGAGGGTGGATTCAGACCAGAGGGCTGAGGGGGCAGCGGTAGACAGGGTGTCTGGGCCCCTAGGTCAGCTCATCCGGGCTGGATACCATGACTTCTCTGCAGCCCATTATACCAATGTATTCCAGTGTATATACCATCCTCCCTCCTGCAAGCTCCCAGGCCAGCAGTCACCTTGGAGAGCAACTGTAACGTGGAGGGGTCTCCTGGTCTCCAGCAGCTCTAGAGCCTGGAGCCCTTTCCAGGGTGAGGGCAGTGCTCCTGGAGGTACCGTCCCTCTGCCACTCGGTCTTTCTGGTTAACGCAGCCGCTGGAGCCTAATGGGGCCAGGCGCACCGAGGGAGCAAGGGGCTGCCTGCGGCTCACTCTCGAGACAGCTGGGAGCTGATGCCATCGGCGCTCACTGCAGGCGGAGCGGCTCCCCAGGGTACCTGGCGGGGAGGTTCCCCAGAGGACCAGCCACACTGCCTGCATCGTGCTGCGTGTGCAATGGACAGGGCTAGGGAAGAATTCGTGAGTGCTGGGGCTGGGATCAAAAGGCAAGTCAGGAGGGGGCCTGAGGATGTTGCTCAGCCGTACCCCCTTCCCTTGTTTGGGGCATTTGTGGTAGAAGCTGGATGCAGAATGAGATGGGGGTGGGCAAGCAACAAACCTTAGCAGAGGTGGGACCCTGGTGCAGGCAGGCATGTGGAGGTGGGGACAACTGTGTAGTCTGAGAGGGCTTTCTGGTGGAGGTGGCATTGCACATGTTGGCCTATTTATAAAGAGTCAGGAAGGGAAACGTGGATAGTGAGGGCGATGAGATGAGTTGAGAGGTGATGAGAGTCTGGCCTAGCCCAAGTAGGGAAGGAAGAATCAGCAGGTAGGTAGGACAAGGCAATTCCCGGAAGCAGCAATTTAGGGTGCTCAGGTCTTGGAGACTTGAAGGCTGGAGCCATCAGGTTCAGAGGTAAGGGCACACCCTCCTGGTGTGAGGGAGGAGACGGGTTTGGATGTCAGGCAGTCACATTCACCCTCCTCTTCCAACCCTGACTCCACTTGGCTTGCTTCTGATTTGTATATGCTGTAATAGGGTTAGTCTTCCAGTTGCGCTCTTAAGCCTTCCCCATCACCTCAGCCAGAAACAAATAGGGTCTGTTTCCTGAGATTGCATTTGTGCCATGACCTGGCACTTACAGAGCAGCCATTAATGTCTGCATCTCTCACCTTCCAGCTGGATTTCAAATGTGAAGCCTTTGACAGCACAGGGATGCTCTCCTGTTATTATTGGGTGAATGTTACTGGGGCTGAGATAGCATCATTAAAATAAGTACACACTCCTTCCTCCCCGCCCCCACCTCCTTCCAAGTATAACATATGTTGGGCATTTTGCTAAGTGCCTGCTCAGCAACTCACTCCTGACCTTCTGTTTTACTTGCCTTCATATCTCTGTCTTCTCCCATACGCAGAAGGCCAGCAGGAGGCAGGTTCCAAAATGTGGGGTGTGTACTGCATTCTGTACAGCCTGGGTGAACACTGTAGGGAGTATGCTTCTCCACTGACCCCTGGCCAACTAGATGTCCTCTCTCATCACTTGAGTCTTTGGGGTAACCCAGGGTGGCCTTCACTATCTGTGGCCATTCCCTTTAGGTGGTGGTTCTCAGCCTGGGCTGCACCTCAAGGTCACTTGGGGAATTTTCCAAAAAACACACATGCCCCACTTCCTGAGAGATTCTTATTCTGCTAATGTGAGGTGGCGCCTGGTGACTTTTTTTAGGAGATTTAATTTTTTTAAAAGGTAACACAATTTCCAATAGTATGGTAGTAAAGAAGCATTTTTATAAAGTATCATAAATTGACTTTCCATTCCTGGCTCACAGCCCCACAACCACTATTTTATGTGTATCTATGGCTATGGATTGGAGAAGGCAATGGCAACCCACTCCAGTACTCTTGCCTGGAAAATCCCATGGACGGAGGAGCCTGGTAGGCTGTGGTCCATGGGGTCACGAAGAGTTGGACACGACTGAAGTGACTTAGCAGCAGCAGCATGGATATGGATATGCATATATAAATATTGTGCCCAAATAGGAGCATGCTGTAATACTGTTCTGCTTTCTCTTTTCATTTCATATATTTTGAATATTGTTTCATTTTTGCATACATGCCTACCTTATTGTCTGCAATATTCCATATTCCATGGTATAGATGTACTATAACTTATTTAACCAATGCCCTATTGAAGGACTTTTAATCTTGGTGTTTTAAATTGATGTGCAATGAATATGGCTTTGCCCACCAGTGTCACTATATCTGTAGGGTAAAATCCTAGATGATGCATAGCTAGATAAAAGGATGTGAATTTGTACAGATTTTTCCAAATTGTGCTCCAAAGAGGCTGAAAAATTTATACTCCTGAAGGGCATCTGTATTTTTACAAAGCTTCTCTGGTTATTCCTGGGCAGTTGAAGTTGAGACTCAGTCCCTGCCCTTTAGTTGCCTGAAACCTATGTTCATCAGTTTCTTGTTGACCACAGCCCACTTAGGGACTGAAGGGTGCATCAGTCTGTCCCTCGATTGACATTTCCTTCTCTTCCTTATCCCCACTCTGGCTAGGACACAGAGTTGCAAAGAAAGTTAGACCATGAGATCCGGATGAGGGAAGGGGCCTGCAAGCTGCTGGCGGCCTGCTCCCAGCGAGAGCAGGCTCTGGAGGCCACCAAGAGCCTGCTGGTGTGCAACAGCCGCATTCTCAACTACATGGGCGAGCTGCAGCGGCGCAAGGAGGCACAGGTGCTGAAGAAGACAGGCCGGCGGTAAGCAAGGGGGAGGCGCGGCTTTATGGGGGTAGCGGTGTGCTGGATATACATATGGAGCATGGGGTGTGGAGCGCCTCAAAGACGACTTCCTGATGAAGACTGCCTAGGGACCCAGAAGACACCTTGATGTTTTATCACCACAGTGTGCTGCCCAGAGGCGCACTAGTGAATTGCTAGGGCCCAGTAAAGCCAGTTTGTCTGGTGAGAGGCCAGCAGTCTGAGGATAGTAATGCAGAAGTGCTAATTTGCTAAGCCGTGCCTGTGATCTGATGAGCCTGTTTGTCTAGCTTCTGGAAAGCTAATTTTCTCAAAGCCAGTTCACCAAATGGTCAATTTGCTAAATGACCAATTAGGCATTTACTGTAACAGACAGTAGCTAATTGTACCTGGGGTTTGCCTCATTTGAGGCAGAAATTGGGAGAAATAATAATTTAAAAAATATAAGTAAAGGCTTACCCATTCATATAATTAGACTATGTACTAAAAGGACTCAATCTGACAAAACTGTAGTGAGATGGTTGAGGTGATGCTCTGGTAAAACTAAAATGTGGGAGAAAATGTTTGGCAAATTGATCATTCTGAGAACTGACCATTTTTTGGTAAAATGGTCACTTGGAAAATTGGCTTCTGGCAAAGTAACCTGTTTGACCCCACAAGGCTGAGTGGGGAGAAGGTCCAGGCCCCTCACAGGCATAGTGTCCATTCCAGCTCACACACAAGGAGAGGTTGCCAGGAGGCCTCTAGAGTTCACCCATGAAGACACCAGGGGAAGGCAGGAACCCCTCAACGGCTGCTCCATAAAGTTAAAGAAGAGCAAGCAGGCAGGGCCAGCTTCTACTGTGAGTCTGCTGTCTCTTTAAGAGGTGGCCATTGACAAGCTCTGCCTTGCCCAAGTCCCCACACATCCCATACAGTGTGATCTGTGGCACACCCTAAGTCCATGGCAGCTGAACACATTGCTATCAGTGCCACATCATTTAGTTTAAGGCTGTTCCAAGTCACTAATTTCATTATGATGAATTATAAATTAGTCTGGATAAGCTGGCCCACCTTAGGAGAGGGACACATGCTCAGTGAGTTCTAATGATAGGCAGGGAGGGGAGGAAGGCTGGATGTCCCTCCTGCAGTGGAGGGACTGGGAAGGTTCAGCCGATCTAGCCAGAAGGGTAGAGGAGAAATCAAAGCTGGGGGGGAAGATGAAGAGAGATTTGTGATAAATGGGACACAAATGTCCCCTACTTGGGTTCTTGACTTTCTGACTGACCGAGTACCCTCCTTTATTGAAGTGATGAGATGGTGAAGACAAGCAGCCTCTTTTGTTGTTAAAAAGACAGCCTGCGAACTCCTCCAAGCCTGAGAAGAATCCTTGAAAGGGGGTCTCTCTGTGGGCACCTGTCTCCTCAAGCCCCACTTCTTCCTGGCAGGAGTCTAGGGAGGTGGTCAGGAGGGGTGCTTGTTGGCGGTGGCCTGAGCTTGTACTGTGTGTGTGAGCTAAGTGCCTTGAGTATTCCCAAGCCCAGCAACCTCCTGGGTTCAATGGACAACTCTCCCTAACAGTCCTTCAGCTCTGCCAATGTCAGCCTGGCTGGGACCTGGCAGCTGAGCCCTGGGCCAGGGGGTTCCTAGAGCCTTTGGGAACCAGAGCCAGGGGGAATAGTGTCAAGAGGCCAGGCTAGGATGTTGTGATTTGCCCACAGGCCTTCGGACAGTGGGCCACCCACTGAGCGCTCCCCCTGCCGTGGCCAGATCTGCATTTCTGGTAAGAAACACAACTACCCCAGCTGCTGGCATTCTTCGCCCAGTGATAAGATCTCCCGTCCTGTCTTGACATCTATTCCTATCCCTCTGCCCCTTAGATCTCCGGATTCCACTCATGTGGAAGGACACAGAGTATTTCAAGAACAAAGGCGGTGAGTTCCACACACGTGGGACAGACTTAAGGGAGTGGCCCTGAGATTGGAGGTTCCCTTGGGGCACATCATTACCAGTTTTGCTCTCGGCCCCCAGACCTGCACCGCTGGGCTGTGTTCCTGCTGCTGCAGATAGGGGAACACATTCAGGACACAGAGATGATCCTGGTGGACAGGACCCTCACAGACATCTCCTTTCAGAACAACGTGCTCTTGTGGGTACCTCATCCCTGTGGCTCCCTGCTTTCTCTACTAGGTTCTAATCATGTAGCTACAGAGAGGGGAGGAAGAGAAGGAGGGAGGGAGCTGGGCCTTCCCTGTGGAGCTGTCTTGTACTTGCACGACATCCATCCTAACCCCACGTTGCTTCCTCCCGTATTCCTACAGTGCCGAGGCAGGGCCAGACTTTGAACTGCGGCTGGAGCTGTACGGGGCCTGTGTGGAAGAGGAGGGGGCCCTGGCTGGAGCCCCCAAGAGGCTTGCCACCAAACTCAGCAGCTCCCTGGGCCGCTCCTCTGGGAGGCGTGTCCGAGCATCGCTGGAGACTTCTGGGGGCTCAGGCAGCAGTCCCATCTTGCTTCCCACTCCGGCTGTGGGGTAAGCACCTATAGTCCTGCCTGGCCCTCAGCTGGCTACTGGCGATCTCTGAGTTGTGTTGAGCATGCATAGCCTATTTTCCATGGCTGCCAGGACATGCAGACAGATATGAATGAGCAGTGGACACATACTGGGAGGCACTCTGGCCCATACCTCAGGTACTTCAAACAGCCAACTGAGAAGACCAGCAGGAATGCAGGAAGAGCTAGGTTCTGGGGTCTTCACTGCTTTTGCAGCAACAGATACACCTTATGTGGAGATAACAGTGCCCCTGGCTACAGCAGAATAGCCCAGGTTCTGTGGTGTTGCCTACAGGCCCCTGGAGGCACCTGTTAGACTCATTGGGTCTCTGAGGAGCAGTTTGAGAACCTTGCAGGTAATGAACAGACTGCTTATTTTGGAAACAGATGCAGATTCAAATTCAAGTTCTACCACCTCCATTTTATTTTGGGGCAGAGTTCTTAACCTCTTTAAGCCTCCAGCTGCTTTGTCTATTAAATAAAGAATGCCACCAACCTCACAGGGCTGTTGTGGGAATACAGTGGGATAACACATTTAAAGCACAGGCCCCAGCACTTAGCGGGAGTACAGTAACTGACTGTCTCAACCCCTGTGGGGGGAGGCAAGCTAGTTTTCTGTGGGGCAGCCCTGCTCAGCTCTCGCAGCTCTCGCCACCCTGCTTGCCCCTCACTTGGCTGCTGCCCACCTCTCTGTCCTGCAGTGGTCCTCGTTACCACCTCTTGGCTCACACCACACTCACCCTAGCAGCTGTGCAGGATGGGTTCCGCACACACGACCTCACCCTCGCCACTGCTGGTGAGTATGTGTGTGTGGGGGCGCTGGGTGGCGAGAAGAGGGGCTGTCAGAGGGTCCCCTTCACATTGCCCACCTCACCTGCCCTCCCTGCAGAGGAGAACCCTGCCTGGCTGCCCCTTTATGGCAGTGTGTGTTGCCGCCTGGTGGCTCAGCCCCTCTGCATGACTCAGCCTACTGCAAGTGGTGCCCTCAGGGTGCAGGTGAGGGGCCCGGGGGAGGGGGAGGGAAGTGGGAGAAGACAGAGGAGAGCCAGGCCACCCAGGAATCAAAGAGCTGTGGAGGAAGGAGGGGCGTGGTAAGATGGAAGGAGGGTAAGATAGGAGGGCGGGCAGAAAGGAGTCATTTTTCTGTGGGGGGCTGGGAAGAAGGGTGTTGGGGGTGTGATTCCCCCAGGAAACCTTGGGTCATTTATGCAGCAAGCTGGGGAGCCGCAGGACTGGGTGCAAGTTCACGGAGTCCTGAAAGGCACAAACCTCTTCTGTTACCGGCAACCTGAGGACACAGCCCCTGGGGCCGAGCCGCTGTTTACTATCGCAATCAACAAGGTGAGGAGTCTCTGGTGGTGAAGCCATCATGTGCCAGGGTTCAGGAACCTCTCCACCAGGCCCCAGGAGGGTGGGCACAGAGACCTCAGAGAGATCAAAGCTAGCTTCCTGCCCCCAACAGCACCACACCCAGCTTCAGGGCCAGGGAAGCCGAGGGACCTTGTTTTCCCCACCAGCATCACTGAAAATGACTGTCCCTTCTACCAGCAGCCTCAGCCCCTGCCGAGTGTCAGAGAGGGTTCTATTGCCAATTTAGGACTCTTCACCCTCCTCCCATCTTTCTTCAGATTCCAGTCTGCATCTCCTTTACCCTTTCCTGGTTTTCTCTCCCAGCCCAAGTCCAAGGACCTTCTTTGTTTCCTAGCCCTTGTGCTGGCATTCCTGCCGACTTTTATAAATTGAGGGGCCTTCGTGTCCCTGTTCCTGCCTGCCTCCTCACCTTCCCTGCCTTGCTCTATCCCTCCTTTCGTGTCTCCATCTGCTCCTTTTCCTGACTAAGGATGACTTGTTTCATTCCAGTCCTTTGTTGCCATTTCTTTCCACGCTGGTCAGTAGGAGGCAAATGAGAGGGCTTGGTGAAAGCTCCACCAGCTATGCCTTCTAAGGATAGGGATGACCAAGCCTGCCTGATGTCACTGCTGACTCCTGTGACCACGGTGAAGGTGGAAGCAGATCTTGGATTTCTCCTACAGGACACTCAAGTCCAGGCAGAGGAGCTGGGCCAGGCAGCCGGCGGGCCCTTCACCCTGAGCATCAGGAACCAGGATGGGGAGGAAGAGGTGACGCACACTCTTCAGGCGGAGAGTCGGGGAGCCCTGCAGAGCTGGATGGAGGCTCTGTGGCAGCTTTTCTTTGACATGAGTAAGAGGAGGGGTCTGGATCGGGGCTTGCTATTTTTACCAAAATAAAATTATTTGATAATTCTTATAATTAAAAATTATATAACTAATACAATATTAAATTATTATACTAATTCTTATAATAATACAATACTTTTTGAAATGAGCATATTTCAAGAATATGTGGAAGGGAATGTAGCAGGGGAGAAGGCAGCCCACCCCCTCAATGCTCTCCCCTCAGGTCAGTGGAAGCAGTGCTGTGATGAAATCATGAAAATTGAAACACCTGCTCCTCGGAAACCACCCCAAGTGCTGGCCAAGCAGAGGTCCTTGTACCATGAAATGGGTGAGTGGAAGTGCACTGTGGGATCCTCATGGGAAGTTGCATTGGGGGCTTCAAGGGAACCCAGATAATGGAGACACAGAGAAAGCACACTGTGGGCGAAGGCAGAGCTCTGGGGACCCAAGTCCCACCCAGGATTCCTTTCCCTTCTCCAACTCTTCTTAAAGTCACCTCCACCAAAGTTCAAGCAAAACTCTGTAGAACCAGACTCATTTCATGGATTTGTTTTCCTAATTTTTTCTTTCCTGTTTCCCTTTCTGCATGCGGATTCCTGTCTCTTCCTCTGACCCTTCACCTGTCTGGCAATGCTTTAATTTTCCTCCTCTTTCTTGGTTTCTTCACCTACTTCTGCCTACTCTCCTCTCCCTGTCCACCCGCTCCGCCCACGTGCCACAGTCTCATCAGAACCTGTGGCTCCTGGGGGCCCCCGTGAGGGGCTCTTCCTGCAGGATAATGCAGTCTCAGCTGAGATCCGGGCTCTGCTTTCCTCCTCTGACAATGACGGGTGATGCTCAGGGCTGAGTAGCTCTGGGGCCCAAGCTCTGACTCCCCTCCCCTCAATCCCTTCCTGATGCCACAGCTATTGAGCCGCTGGATGACATCGCAGCGGTGACAGACATCCTGGCCCAGCGGGAGGGTGCGAGGCTGGAGACGCCCCCACCCTGGCTAGCAATGTTTACAGACCAGCCTGCCTTGCCTGGCCCCTGCTCACCTGCTTCAGTGGCCCCGGCTCCAGCCCGGATCCATTCCTTGCCCTGGGGGAGACCCCGAACATTCTCTCTGGATGCTGTCCCCCCAGACCACTCCCCTGGGGCTTCTCGCTTGGTTGCCCCTCGCCCCCTGCAGCGGTCCCCACGGTCCAGAGGCCTCTGCGCCAAAGGCCCACCCCACACTTGGCTCCAGTCACCAGTGTGAGGGAAAAGGTGCTGGCAACAGGATCTGGCCAGAAGAGGAGAAGATCTGTGTGCAGCTGGGCTCTGGATTCAGCACTGTTTCGGGCAGGTTGACCAGCTTGGCCTCCCCTTCCTTTGCTGGAGTCGGGGCAGGCTGAGAAGGGGTAGCAGAAGCCCCTTTAAGCTGTGGTTGCCACGGTGCTGAGGGACTCGTTCCCAGGGCTGGCTGGACCCCCTAAACCCTTCCTGGGAGAAAACTGGAACCAACCCTGCCTTACCTCCCTGCATTAACCAGCTTTGAGAATGGCACTGAAGAGCCCTGGGAGGGAACACACTTCCCTCGTGACTTTTACATTGACCATTAAAATTATTTAACATCACCCTTCACCTGGTTGTTGAGGACAGATTGCCTCTTGACTTGGTCAGGACCCGCCATAGCCCCTTATCCCTGGAGCTTAGTTCCCTAGTTGTGAAATATGACCATGAGATTGAATAATCAGACAAGGGCTGGGTGGAGGGGAGTACTTTATAAATACCACAGGGAAACAGAGGGCTGCTCTTCTCTTACATGCTGCTGAATCTCAGGATCTCAGCAAGGTCATAGCCAGTCACAGCAAAGGAGCTGCCTGAGAGGTCACAAAATCGGGCACCACAGATCTGGGTGTCAGGCACACACTCGCCATGACAATGTTCCACCTGGGAGAGAAGACAGCTGCTCAGGGCCTGTGGCCTCATCCTCGGGCCTCGTTCCACTCCTCTTATGACACATACCTCAATGTAGCCATCCTCTGGGTTTCTGCTCAGCTTCCAGATGTGTATGAAGGTGTCTTCAGCCGCAGAGAGTAGCTATTTTAAAGAAAGGCAAGGAGGACCAGTGGGAGTCAGAATGTGCTGACAGAGGGCTGGTACAGGCTGTAAAGCCCAGTCCAGGTGCCTGGGGAGGGGGCTACCCTGAGAGGCAGAGACAAGTCTGTAGAGTGCCTCTCAACATCCCAGCGCCAGGAAACAAGGGTATGCAAGGACAGAGCTGGAGACTGACCTTGCCCGCCTCAGGAGCCAGGTCCAGGGCACAGACGGCCCGGGCATGGGCGCTGATCTGGACGTGTAAAGTTCCTGTGCTGGCTTCATACAGACGCACCTGCCCGTTCCCATAGCCTGCTGCCACGGTCCCCTGCCACAGCTGCACAGAAGAACACGGGGCCCTGCAAGGGCGACATCGCACTTTGATTTCCCAGACCTCAGCCTGCTCCCCACCTTGAAGCTGCCTCAGGAAGGCCTCAGCCCCCTTCTGCCTCACCTACCCGAATCCTGGAATCTGGGTCAGTAATTTGAATTTGGGCCCTGATCTCCAGACACACAGCAACCCCGAGTCATCTGCTGTCACAGTGTCAGCCACGCAGTCCTGAGGGGAAAGGCAGGATTAGCCCTTTTTCCTCCCGGCTGGGTCCTGTATACAGGGCAGGAGGGGAAGGGAGGCAGTATTTGCATCTTTGCCTCTCCAGGGAAATGGGAAGATGTGGAGCCATCATTGGCTCAAAGTGTCTCTTGGAAGCATTAAATGCTTTCATCGTATTCCTTATAGAGTCTGACTCCCTACCCCAACCCCAGCACACATCCTGTGTGTTAGGGGATGTAATTGTCCTCATTGGATGAATGATGAAACTAGGCCACAATATCAGGACCTTCTGGAAGTCTTGCATTGAGCCAGTCATAGTCATGACCAGACTCTGGGACTCTAACTCCCCAACCCAGGTAGCCAGCAGAACCCAAGGGCCCAACTCTGTGCCAGGTGTAGTGCAGCATAGGAATTATAAGATACATGCCCTGTTTTCAAGAGGTTTACAATCTAATCAGGGAGATAAGAGTTGTCTTTACGGGCAGTGTCAATTCAGGGTTCAGCTAAGGGAGATGAGTGGGGGCTAGAAGAGGGGGAAGGCTTCTAGGAGAGGGCAGCACCGGAGGTGGGCCTCAATAGGGGGGCCTCGCCAAAGTTCAGAGAAGGAAGCCACACATGTCAGAGCTGGAAAGCAACTCAGAAACCATCGGTCCCAACTCCTCCATTCACACCAGGATCATAAAGTATGGGCAAACTATTAAGTACCATGTAAAGGTAAGGTATTTCGGGACTCATCACTGGACCTGAGGTTGCTAAAACTTAGCAAAGTGCACTAATTTGCCCAAAGTCATGCAGCTGTTTAGCGGCAAAGCCAAGGCTTGAACCCAGGTCCCCTGCTTCCCCAAGGTGGGGAAGGCCCTCAGATTCACTGGAACAGGTAGGGGGGATCCACTCACCTGTCCCTGGGCAGGCTCGGTGGCAATGTCTGTGATTGGTGTCTGGTGCCTTGCCAGCTCTTCACTCAGTACAATGTTGGGACCCTTGGTGGGGATGTCAAACACCAGGACCCGGCCTGACCATGTTCCTGCAGAACCAGTGCTCCACTGATGCCTTCCTGATCCTCCCAGATCTCCTGCCACCATGCTCAGCCCTCCCTCCATCCCAGAAACCTTAGTAACAAACCCACCTCTCACTGTGCCAACAGCCCCACTCCCAACATTCACTGCCCTTTTCCTATACCATCCTGCCCCTCTGAACCCCTCCATGGCTTTTTGGGAGTTTCTCAGACCCTCCTTCGCTCCCAGCTCTCTAACACCCCACAATTTCCTCAGACCTTCAGCAGCATCCTGGTCAAAGCCCAACTCCCCTATACCTCAGCACTCTCCAATGCCCTGCCTTTGGCCCCCTCACCCACACAGATGTAGTGGCCACTGGCAGCAATTCCTCGGGCAAACACGGCCTGCACTAGTGTGACAGGGGAAAATGATTAGAAGTATTATCCCCCCGAGCCCCAGCAAACACTCCTACCCCAACCCCGTCTTGCAGGTACCTAGAGAGGCATCTCCAGCGTCCAGTGCATGCCAGTAGACCATGACGGAGCCATCAGACTCATACATCTGAAAGACCAGGGCAAGGATGGGGTCATAACCCAGCTGACCTTTGCTGCGCTCTGTACCAGCTACTCCACATACGCATGTTAACCTCAGCCTGTTTAGTCCTCAGAATTACCCTGGGAGGGAGGCGCTTCTTTTAGAAGCGCACAGAAGGCAGTCAGGCTCTGAGAAGTTCACTAAATTGCCCAAGGTCACACAACTAATAAAAGGGCAGATATTGGAGATGGCACTTAAAAACTGGACAACAAGGAAGGTATGAAGATGAGAAATGAGGCGGCTAAGCATGAGAACAGCTTGGAAATGTTTAGAAGTAAGATCACTGGGTTGGGAAGATCCCCTGGAGAAGGAAACGGCAACCCACTCCAGTGTTCTTGCCTGGAGAATCCCATGGACAGAGGCGCCTGGCGGGCTACAGTCCATGGGGTCGCAAAGAGTGGGACACGACTGGGAGACAGCACACAAACACACACTAGGGGCTCTGGAGAGAAGCTGAGAAGACTCTAGCAGGGGAGGGCAGGACGGTCCTCTTCTTACTTGTATTCCTCGATGAGAGGTGAGTACCAGCAATACTCGGAAAGGGAGCACACACCAGTGGATCTAGAGGGAGATGAATCAGAGTAAGAAGCAGTCAGAGCAGAGGACATGAGGACTCGGAAGTGTGGAAACACAAGATGGTCAGGGAAGGCCTATTCCTTGAGGTTTGGAGAGGAAGTACCCGGTTCTAGGTAGGGCGGGGGGTTCAGCAACACCACTCCCAGCTCCACGCCTCACCTGGGTGATAAGTGGGGGGCTCACTCCAGCGCCCTCCTTAGCGTGGAGCTGGCGCTGGGCCAAGGGCGCACCCTCTGGAGCAGCGCTGAGCAGCTGGGCGCTGGGTCCATGGACCACTCCAAAATGAGTGAGGCTGCGGGTGGGCAGCGGCAGCACACTGAGGTTGTTGCACAGGGCGGCCGCCGAGCCTCGAAGCGGGATGGAGCGCTCCCGGCGGAACATTCTTGGGGAGAGACGTTCGATCCCAGGCGCGCGGAAAGCAGAAGACAGCCGAGATTCCTATGGGGGCTTGGGGGTGGGGTGGTGCTGACATGAGGCACTGGGAAAGCCCCCGGCGACTGGGTCGTGTGTGAATGAGCCTCGGGGATGGTGATGGGGGTTGGTGGTCACATGGTGTGGGAAGGGTATCGCGGAGCTGGCGAGGGGAACCCTAGGGCTGAGTCATGAGGTGATGGGGGGGGAACCCCAGAGGAGGAATGGTGATGGCCCACGACCCAGGGGCCCCAAGAGCCCGAGTCAAGGCAGGATGAAGCAGGGTAGCCCCTAGGCTCTTCCTCCCTCAGCCTGGCTCCCCGAAGCCCCCGGACCAGGTCAGAGTTCACACCAGCAGCTCCGAGACTCCAGAAGCGTTCGGTCTCTCCGAATCCGCCGCCACCATAGAGACGACGCACGTACGCACGGCCGTTGGGAGGGGTGAACTACCCTAACGTGCGACGCGCGGCAGGCGCGGCTGCCGGGGCAACTGTGGGTGGGGCGAGCCTCCGCGCGGCGCGGTTGCCTAGGAGACCGATGGGCTGCAGCAGCAGCTGCCGCTGGACAGGAAAGCTGCTGGAGCCTGGTGGTTGAAGTTACAGTTGAGGCGATGGCGCACGAAGGCCCGGTGAGCTTTAGCTCAGCTGAGGGTGGCCCAGAGCGGGGTTAAGACCGTTAAGACCTGTGTCCGGAACCGTGGGCCAGCTCTGTGCCACCCGGCATCCCCCTTCACGCGGGCGTTCAAGATGACCGAGAAAGCCATGTCGGTGCACTAGAACAGAAAACCTGCACCTGCGCCTGCAGCACGCGCACTCACAAGCATTGTCACACTTGGAGCCTGAGGGGAGGGGGTTAAATGGGTGATGAAGAGCCCAAGAACAATAAGTGACTTTGGCAAGAGTTAATGCATTTAATGAGTCTCTTATATTGAGGTACTCATTTATTTTTTTTCCCATTTATTTTTATTAGTTGGAGGCTAATTACTTTACAACATTGCAGTGGTTTTTGTCATACATTGAAATGAATTAGCCATGGATTTACATGTATTCCCCATCCCGGTCCCCCCTCCCACCTCCCT